TTTCCCTAATTATGTGAGGAGAAGATGGTATTTTGAGTCTTTGAATTAGGGCCATTTGGTCAATTTTACGTGGCTTTGTTGGGAATATTTTATTTTGTAGATGGATGAACTAGGAAACTTGATGATTTACTTCTTATCTCAAAAGAGTAATTAAGGCACTAACAAGTTAGGAAATTAAAAAATGAGGATCCTTTATCCAGATATGAATACATGCATATCTAGCTATGACTATTGACCAGTACACTTTATTGAGAATTTATGGCAAGCTAATCATTCCTAATTTGATGATGATGAATTCTACAGTGATGAGGTTGGCAGGTGTACATGTTTCAAGCCTAAAATATCTAACATTCGATTATGTACCAAATCTGGAGGTTGAAACAATTAAATTAAGATGATAAAGGCAATATATATGCATGTAGCTCCTTTGGTTTAATTTGATGCACTTTCATTCGTGAACTAAGACCAACATGCAACCATGTCACTAGTTGTTTCACATGTCTTGAGTCTCTTTGGTTTTACGATGATAAGGCATTGCCAACTAATTTGACATTTCGTGCTGATCTTGAACCATTCATTACTTAAACAATTATATGACAACCTACGCACAATTGGAAAAACATAGAAGAATATTTAATTTTTAACAACATAGAAGGCTAGTGTAATTAAAATAAATATCATAAAATTTACCTAAATTTCAATTGACCATTTCAACCAACAGAGAGTATTTAATTTAGGTTTAATATATTTATTAGTTTCCGAATTTTTCAACTTTTTTAAATAAATCCTAAGGTTATAAAAATTTATAATTAAGTTTTTGATCTTTTAGTATTTTTAATAAGTTCATAAAAATAATGATCCGTTTAAACTTATTATGTTCAGTAATCTAATTACATAAATTGGAAAAGATTAAGCACCCGGTTAAAAGGCTTTAAAATTATTTAATATAAAAAAAATGTATGCTAAAATATTTTTTTGAAATGAAGAAAATAATATATATTTTTAAATAATTACATATAAAAGAAAAAAGTTATAATCCTTTAAAAAATAGAGTTCTTAAAGAAAAGAAAAAAAGACTAAGATGAATTTGACCAATCATGCTTTGTGAATACATACTAAATTTTAATTGTCATTTTATGTACATCATGTCTATAAAAAAATCATAGCATAAATGAAATTGTTAAAAAGTTAGCTAAAAATTTATCAATCTTATTTGACTTTGATATAATTTTTCTTATAAAGTTAGATTGTGTGGCTCATTTTAACAATATTAATAAATTAAAATTATGTTTTGTCCTTGAATGTCAGTTAATTTTACTATAAAATGTTATATATATATATATATATATATATATATATATACACGTTATTGTATATATTTTTGAGTTCTAGGATAGAGAGAAACCCTAAAATAAGATTTATAGTATGTGTCTAAATTCTTTATTTCATTAATTATGTCTTCTCTTATATTAAATATTTAATTTTATTATTTATCGACAACTTTTTAATCTTTTCAATTGTATTAATTAAAGTTATTTATTTTTAAAATGTGATTTTAAATTTAAATTTTGAATGTGGTATATTATATTAATTAATTTTTTTAAAAATGAATTGAGTATTAATATTAATGTAATATCAACCAATTTAAATTTAACTCTTAAAACACCATACCATTCAAGTGATATTGTCTTAATTTAATACTTTATTTTCATATTTTAATTTTAAGAGTTTATTTCTTTAGTTTATTGGTATTTAATAAAATAAAATATCTACCCCAATATTATAAATTAGAATATATAATTTAGAGAGTAAAATTTTGACTTTTCTCACCTTTTAATTATATATTTTATTGTGTTCTCTACATGTGTATTTCATCATCCACAACCAACAAAAATATTTTTGTCTCACTTACTTTAATCACTCTTGTATGCTTTATGTTTATTTGTATACTTGAATTTCTTAACCATGATTTTTTTTTATATACATTTATATTGAGTTTCAGATATTTTGCTTATAAGTTTTATTTACTTTTAACAAGGTGAAACAATACATAGCAAAGTTATTAATATCATTATAAATTTTGAAAGAGGACACCGACAGATTGTTCAAAACAGTATTTTGTTTTCCGCGTGAAGCGACGATGGGATGGCAACAATCTCCACGTGTTATCTCCAAAGTCCCTTTCATAGTTTCATTAAATTCATCACAATTTTGTTTCTCTACTGCACACTTATCTTTTTATCTTTTTAATTTTTGTGCTTCTGTAGTCTCAAAGTGGAAGCTCTAAATCATTTGTTTTAATTTCGGGTGTTATTATTATTATTATTATTTAGGTTCATGATTGATGGAACACATAAGGCAAAATCAAGTGTTTATTTTGACATACATAGAGAAGTAACATGTACGTACAGGTAATAATTTGTACAAGCATAACCCTTCCCTACTGGAAACAACCTGGCATTACAAAAGTGACACACAAGCCTCTTCTAAAAATAAACAAATTCAGGTTTACTGAAATTCCATTTATTCAAAGTGCTCCCAATTTTGAGTAATCACTGTTGAAGTTGGAAATGAAGTTGGTGACTTTAAGCTTCCAACTCCTGATTCAAAGGCCTCCCAAATCACAGGTACTGCATTGTTAGAGGAATTGCTAAATGCAGCACAGTTTCTTGCCTTCAGGTTGTCAATTGTGTCCACATAACTCTGTACACGACGAACCTGTGTGCAACGACTTAAATGTGAGCACCTTTCACCATCACTTTGGAACTGCATTAAATAACTAAGTGGTGGCAACTATTTTTGTACTATCATCTACTCATTAATAAAAGAGAAGTTCTTGTATGAAAACAGTATCAGCAGACACAATAACTAATCCAAAGCTAAGATAATATTAAAATAACAATCACACCTTTTGATATTTTATTATTATTAAAGTTTAGTTGCATTTTTTTTTAATTAAATAGTTGCATTTTTTTTCATCTTATTTTATAATTTTTGTAAATTTTATTACTCAATTATCGAAATTTCGTACATTTTATTATTGTTAATCAACTACATCACATCATTATTTGATCATTAATGTGACATATTAATTATTGATATAATATATTAATTATTAATATAATATATTATATTATATTAACATCATATTAATAAATAATTAACAACGTATATGATCGATTAACAAAATAAAAAAAATATATAAAATTTTAAAAGATGGGTGATAAAATTTACTGAAAGGTGAACTTTTTATCTTATTATTTAAGTACATGTTGAGTTTTTGATTATTATTTTTGAATAGAAACTGTGATTAATACAAGTATTGCTTCTAACAAAGTAGCTAAGTTATCGCTAACCTCAACTCTTCTCTGTACTTTGGCTTCTCCCTCAGCAGAAATGGAGTCTAGTTTAAGCAACTGAACCATTAGCAACTCCGTTAAGATAGCAAATTCTTTGTCTTCAACCTTTGTACCACCACACACACTTGTCTCCAAAGCAACCACCTAACAATCATCAAATATTAGTTGGCCTTATTTTCAAAATTTCAGTGAAGTGTTCCAATTTTGATGACAAGGAGTCCCACCTTTTGATATAGCTTGTCTACTTCTGTTCTGACACTGGAGATGGCTACACATGCCTTTAAGATATCTTCTCTCTTCTGCATCTCCTCAAGCTTCCTCTCTTTGCTGGCTGGATCCTCTAACAATATAACCTTAGACATGTCCTTCACTCCCACCATATGCAAGCATTCCTCGTCCTCCTTCTCTTTCCATCTAAATAGTAACCTTTGCTCCTTAGGCTCAAGACCAGTCTCGGATGTAAGCACCCTTTTTAGATGCCCTTCCATTGAGCCAAAACAGAACACTTAGGCTTCAATTTCAGAATCTAGCTAACTACATATATTGGAACAACATGCCAATTCTCAAATGCCCCAAATAATGAAGCCAAATTAAACAACTTTTATCAACCTAACAATAAATAGTACCACAACAACAATAATACATGAGGAAATGATGAATTGTGTTGGCCAAAATGTATGCTTTCAGCAAGGTCAATGTCAAATAAAGATTTAACATAAAAGGGAAGAAGGGGGTTGATGAAATATTCTCAAGATCAATGGTAATTACGAAATTGTCCACAAGAGTTATCACACCTGAAGTACCAATTCCAGCATCACCAAATGGACCATAAAAGAAATTTCCCACTTGATACTTCTCATGAGATAAAACAACTATAAAGTGAACTTTTGATTATTTGAAAACGGGTTACAACAATTTTTACCCTTTTCATGCCAGAAACAGCAGGAGGTAAATGAGGAAAGGAGTGAATCCCCACAATTGCAAATGATCATATCATAAGCTTACCAAAAGTGGATTGTGCAGGAACAGTGACATCATGGTGATAGGAACCATGAGAAACCTTGATTTTGATCATGGGACTAGAAGAAGACTCAAGGGGTTGTCTCTTCTGTACAAGCATGCCACCAGGTCTGAGCTCCCAATCTATACTTCGCTTAACCCCATCACTGGCTTCACCTTTTGAAGCTAATCTTTTCATTATCAACAGTAAAAATTGGTAAAATATAGCAATAGGGTGATAAAGAAAGAGGAAGGTGGAGCTAACTGAGAGAAGTATGAGAATAACAAAAGAAGACGATGGAGTAAGCAAACAAAAGTGGTTCAGAACAGGGACACCTCAACTGTCTTTTGCAAAAACACCGGTTGCTCGGTTAAAACACAAAACAGAAAGAAGAAAAAAAAAAGTAGAATTGGTACAAAAGTATACCGTACACAGCCTAGTAACACATGCAAGAATCATTTCAACATATTTAGTCCTAATTAGAGTCATGATCCTTATTTCTTCTTGTTGAATCATAGCTTGGAACAAACAGTAGGGTTGTACCTTTGAGGCGTGCACATAGGAGCTGATAGAGACAGGAAAAACAATATATGTGCTTCTAATTCAATTGATCTTAACTGCAAGTTTTAATTACAATATCAATAATCTAAGATTAACATTGAAGAACTAAATCGAGCTCACAAAACATGATTTATGTTGATTAAATATTATTTTAATATTAATGAAATTGATCCAACATCATGTTAATTTCTCGTATCCAGTACAAACCTTGCAATTGTCAAGACAAGAGAGTTGACTATGTTATTAGAGATTCTGATAAGTGTATACAGAAGATTTTGTTACAAGAGACATAAATCACTTCTAATTTATATTGTTCAAAAGAATTAGTTTCTAGATATTTTGGTGCAAATAAAAAGAATATACCACGTCACAGTTTTTTTATTAAGCCTTTTAAGGCGAACTTTCCGTAAAAATCAACTGATATGGAACATTATTACTACACGCCAATTCGCGTGTGCGGTGGAACCAAACTTTGGAGGAACATCATGCACATGCAAACATGTACTCGTAAAGGAATTTACGTCACTCAGCATTTTGAATTTTATAATGTCACTCTTGTCACACCTCCTTAGTCCTTACTCACTTCTTAACTTTTAGGTTTCGGAATTTGTTGGTATGGCATTCACGATATAGCGATAATGTAAAAAATAATGTAAATGTGTTGGTGATATAAAATGATGACCACACATATTAAAAATGTTAAAAATTATATTTTTACATCTAACTCTTAACTCCAACAATGATTTCATTAAGTCAACAAATTTTTTTGATAAATATAAAAAAGTGACAATGTATACTTTAAATGGAAATAAAAAATTTACATATATTTATTATTATTAAATAAAAATGTGTATATATATATATATTATTGATAGCATTATTAGTATATTTTTAGATAACTGACAATTTAATAAATATAAATCAGTATATATTAATATATTTATACATAAATATAAATATATAGACAGGATATAAATATATTAAATGAATGTTAATTATAAATATACATTTTACTGACTAAAATATGAAGACAAAAATTCATAATTTGACTTTTACTTTATATCTTCATCTTAAATTACTTTTTATATTTTTTTTAACATGACATGCATGGAATTTATTATTGTTACAAGTTTACTTCAGATTCATTCATTTTCTTCTTTGTTATATGTTTTATTTATACGTAATTCACTTAAAATAACTTGATGTGTTGATAAAAAGAAAGTCTTGAGATGCATGACTACAACAAATTAGGTAACCCTACTATGGATTTATCCGAAGAAAGGAGACCAACACTTGAAAAATAGTGAAGAAAGGAGCCCAACACTTGAGAAATAGTAAAGTATCGTCAGCATTGGATATTGGATTGGACTGGGTCAACCCAAAATATCCATAGGTTGATGATAAACACATCTCCATTTTCGTATAAATATATCTCTTTTTTAAAAAAAATATATAAAAAATGTCTAAATTACTCTTAAATTTACACCCCGTTCCCCGTACTCCCTTTTCCCGCACCCCCGTTCCCCGCACCCCTCTTCTTTCCAAAGCTTCTTTCCGCGACGGCACCAGAACGGGCTGCACTGCAAGCAGAACGGCCCGTTCTTCTTGCAGTGCGGCCCGTTCTTCTTGCAGAACGGCCCGTTCTGAAAGCAGTACAGGCCGTTCTAGGGCCGTTCTGTTGCAGTTCAGGCCACGGCGTCACTTTTAAAATGGCTACCTTATGACTGATTTTAAAACCCCGATTTTAAAAGTCATTTTTATTTTTTTTCATTTTTCATTCTTGATTTTTCTTCTTTTACGATCAACATAATCATATTTTATCTTTCTATCTTTTAAATTTTATTTTTCACTTTGCACTCTATTCTTTCTTAAACCTTAATTTTTCATTCAATCATCATTATCCTCTACTAGGGATGGCAACGGGGCGGGTCGGGTACGGGTTTTATGATACCCGTCCCTGTCCCCGTGACATAAAACCATCCCCGTACCCGTCCCCGTACCCGTCGGGTATGGGATTTTTATCCCCATCCCCATCCCCGTCGGGTTCGGGTATACCCGTACCCGTACCCGT